ACCCCAGAAGGGCCGGCCCCGTGGCACGCTGGCCCCAGGAGGGGCTTGCCAGGAAGGATACGCTCTTGTTCTTGCTGAGAATCAATCACTCGTTCCATGTGACCCATGAGGGAGCTCTGCACAGCATCCAGGTGGTCAGTGAGTCTCTGCATTAGTTCCATCTGGTTCTGTCTCAGCTCCGTGAGCTCCCTCTGTTGGCTCCGCAGCAGAGACATCAGCTCATCCTGGCACTCGGCGGTCACCTGTTCGCAGAAAAGGCAGCCAAATGATACGCTCTGTGCCCACTGGCCACCGCATCGGTACTGTGGTCAGCAGAGAGCTTGAGCCCCTGCTAGGGAAACCCAGGGCCAGTTCACCCATCACTTAAGCCCAGGAGCAAAGCTCAACACAACCAGGATATGATTCAGGGCCAGGCCCAGGCCTCAAGGAAGCCAAGTGGCAAAATTCCCCCCGTCTCCAATAGGATCCGCAGTTTGCCTTTACAGGAGCACACTGACGAGACAGCAAAACACACCAGGCCCCACGGTCCCTCCAGGCGACTCCCTGACCTAAGAGACTGAGCTGGTTGGGAGCGAACCCCACCCAGCCCTTCCCAGGCTGGCTAACGCCAAAGCTTTTGCTCCCCAAAGGTGATGTGCAAACCAGAGCCTAGGCCCCTCGCTGGATCCCTGCAGCTGCCTACAAGACTTCGAGGATGTAGGTCTCCGCTGTCGGAGAAGAGGAAAGCCCCGGGATTTAAACAGCTGACCTCAGGCACTTACGATGGGGCAATGCATTGTTTGGGGGGTGCACCGCCATTCACAGGGCCAGCACCATAGCACTTCCTCTAGCTCAGGAGGGGAAGTGGCTCTGGCCAGCTCCATGCCTGGAGGAAGGGGAAGTTATTTTGGAGAAGTTCTCTGGCCCATATTATCCAGATGGTCAGACTAGATGATCACATTGGTCCCTTCTGACCTTGGAATCTACGGAGGTGCTTCATGCCCATCAGCGGGAGCCAGGCTTTAACCTAGAGGGAAGCCATCTCAAAGGCCAACCCGGCGCTACAGACAGCAGACCCCACTCGAGAGGCTGGCTGAGCCCTCATAGTGTTCCAAGGGCATCCCAATGAGACCTAAAACGTGATCCCAGCACGCCCTCCATTGGACATGGAGGTGCTACCAGCAGAGATAAGGAGCTCTAACAGGCCAGAGCTGCTTTGTCCTAACGGGGCTAGGAATGCCTTGTTTTCCCATTGCTGGTGCACTCAACGTGATTTCTATTCATCTCATGCAGGAGCAAATACCAGAGCCGTGGCTGAGCAGGTTGGATTGGAAAAAGGAGGACCATGTATAAGCGAATCAGATGTGGTAAGCTGCACAGGAAGCCACTGGTTTCACCAAGTCTGGGCACCCCTCTCAGACCATCTGCAAGCCACAGAGCTAAGCAAGTTCTGCAGGGCCTTAGTGAGCAGCGAAGCACAGCTGGCATGCCCTGCCTGCTCACGCAGCACAGGCCCCCGGCTCCGCAACAGACGCTGAGGGAATTGGGACGGGCTTTCCTTTAAGTCATCAGTGAGCTGGCTAACAAGCAAGCAGGTGATGGAGCGTCGGATCCCCACTGGGACTAACCTGGCGATCACATGACCTCGGGGACTGGGTCACATCCCTGGAATGAAAAGAAGAGTTACCATAACCATGTGAATTGCACCCAGCTCGGGGTCAGAGTCTTTCACCAACACTGACTGAGCTGGGTGGGAGCTTTTGATTACTCCTATAACTCTCACCCCCCCACCATCCAGCATCTGTCCCCCTTTTGTCTCGTTCCACCACCAACACAAGAGCACCAGGAGGGTACAGAGTTCATGTTGGTACAGAACTGTATCAAAGCCAAGAATTACCACCCCTAGTGAGTAAGACTCAAGGGACCCCCTACACTGCTCCTCTAGATGGGCTGGTTTGACACAGGGCACCTACTGGGCCTGGCCCTTTGGCCTGAAGGTCACTGGGCTCCCCTGATGTTCACACAGCATGAGCACAGCCTAGGCTGTTCAGCCTTGACTGAATTTGGGGGCAGAGAAGTCATTCCCCTGACTTATCTGCCCAAACATCAAGAGGGCCGTTTTCTCTGTTTCTTATAGAAAAAAATCGGATGCACATTTTGAAGTTCTCAAAGAGTGCCTGTAATGACTATCTGGAGCCACACGCTGCAATATGGACTGAACAAAGAGAACACGGACTTGGTTTGTTAAGCAGGAGAGACCAGTTTGGCTCCTGCAAACCCATGACTCCGTGTTGAGCCAAACCTGGCAGGAGGGAGGCGTGCGCTGGCAGCTCACAGCCTGGATGGCCCACAGGCACTACAGCTGTCTGAAGAGGACTGGGGCATGGGAGGAAAATGGCATTTATCAGCAGAGATTCCTTTTTCGTTGCCTCCTTTTCCTGCAACCAGCAATCTAAAGCCCCAGCCTGTGGTCTGCAGTCACGACATACACAAGGACAGCTCCAAACCACTCCATGGAGCCATATGAAAAGCACAGGAGTAGAAAGCCATTTGAAGAGGTTGCACTGATTTTCCTGTACACAGGACGTAGCACATTGGACTGCGCTACCCGATCACCTCCTCATGGGCTGACCCTTCAGCTGGTCAAGTTTCAGCCAGAGCACATTCATACGCTCAACTTTCAAACACAGACACAGCAGGCAGGTGCCAGACGTTACTGCATGTGGCCACTGTGGTTGGGCCTAGAAGCCACCCAGATCAGAGCTCTGTTATGCTGGGTGCTGGAAAACATTTAGAGAATGACTGTCCTGAAGAAGCCTTCCCCGAAGTGGGGCTCTGCCATGGGGCAGCACAGGAGTAGAAACAAGGCTGTGTACCCCTCCCATCTCATCATAATGAACCTGCCTCCTACAAGTTCTTCTGAAGCCTGTGCTGGCCCTGCAGCCCCACCAGAAGGGCAGGACAGAGCCTGCTCCCATGCCCCTCTGTGATGGCCACTCTGACTGGGCAATGCAGCGCTTTCACCAGGGCTGGCAGGTTACTGCTCACAAAGCTCAGATCCCCATGAGCAGACAGCAGCAGCTCTAGGACACTGCTGGCTAGCTTAGCGGATTTCTCAGATTGTGACCCTGTGCTACCAGTCCCGCAGCTGTCTGCCCTGGAAGCCCAGCGTACCCGTCATCTTTCTTGCCCTTCCGTTTGAGCTTGGGGGAAGCCCGAGGGGACACCTTGGCTTTCCAGTCCTTCACAGGCAGCCTCTGTGCAGATGCTTTGGCACCAAACCCGCCTGATGTAGAAGCCAAACTTGCAACTTCATCATCATGGTCACTGCAAAAGAAGACCAGGGAGAGGAGGTTGCTAGCAGTAGTGGGGAGAGCCACCCTGCCCTACAGCCACCCAGGTCGTCAATCCAGACGAGTCCGCAGGGCCCAGCATGAAGCGCTCCTCCTTGACCCAAGGAACCAGGCTGCTCAGATCAAGATGAAGTATGGCATGATGGGACCTGTAGTCTCTGCATTAGGCCCGGCTGCAGAGGTCTCTGAGTGCTCCCTAGTGTCGAATTCGCTGACTCAGGAGGGGACCAAGCACAGCACACCTCTCAAGCTGAGAAGCTGAAGGTGCCGTAACCCAGTGAGAACCACAACGTGGAGAGACCGAGGGATTCCAGGCAGTAACCGAACTCCGCACTGACGGGGGGCTGACCCTGCCAGGCCTCTGGCTGCAGCTCTCCCATTGAAGGCAGTGAGAATTCGGCATGTAGGATCAGCCCCTGGTGGTGAAGGGCGGGTCGTGACTGGGCAGGATTTTGGAGAGCAAAGCAGTGCCCTACGGTACTCTTGATCTACCTTGCTTTAAATTCAAGGGCTGGGCTCCACCAAACAGTGCCCATTAGTTGGTTTGCACTGATGATTGGACCAAGCGACACGAGCCACGCTCTGTCCACGTTCCCCTGTGCAACCCAGCGAGCACTCTGACCCTGAAGAGCATAACCCAGGTGATAGCATCTTGCGAGCCAGCCCAGCTATCAGGATAGGACTGGTTTCACGGCCTCCCTCGTGCCAGGGCTGGGGGGCAGGAGGCGAAGCAGATGAAGACTTGCCAAGGACAGGGACACAGAGTCCGTGCTGGGGACGCGCGTGCTGGTACCTTTGCTCTGCACTGGCATCCTGGCTGTCATGCTGCAGCAGGTGGTAGCTGTGCCTGTGATAGGAAGAGCTCTTGTGCTTCTCTGCAATGTCATCCCTTGGGCTGGGGGAAAAGGGAAATGCCATCATGAAAACATCTCCCGGCCTGGTTATCTGCTCATTCCACTGCCTGCTGATAGCAGGCTGGGCTCTGAGCCCACACCGCTGGGGGGGTTCACAGAGCCAGTGGGGTCTGACAGCCGGGCCCTGGCATAGTGAGTGTCTGGGGGTCAGATGCTTGGGTGCGATCACACACACCCTTCAGAGCATGGGCGGGTCTGTAGATAAATAATAAAATAATATATGGAGATATACCTATCTCATAGAACTGGAAGGGACCTTGAAAGCTCATCAAGTCCAGTCCCCTGCCTTCACTAGCAGGACCAATTTTTTTGCCCCAGATCCCTAAATGGCCCCCTCAAGGATTGAACTCACAACCTGGAGGATGGGCACATTTTATAACCACCAGTGAACACCACGCTGCTCTCCCCCAGATGCAGGTGGTGCACTACGGTAGAGAGCATCCCCCAGCCGTTGCATTTTCACCTGTCCAGGGGAGTATTTCAGATCCCCAGACTCTGTGCATCAGTGGTAACAGCAAGAGGCTGTTGCCTGGACACTGGCGTGCCTACAGAGTGCAGCAAGTTACAAGGCCTGGAGTCGGGGACTAGGAGAACCAGCCACCCTGGCAAGACTTTTCTAAACTCGCACCCTGGATCCAGACAGCCGACATGTCCGACATGAGAGCAGCGTGGAGGTCCAGGGTGGAAGGATGGCTGTGTCTCCTGTAACTCGGGGGACGTCTCTGGTCTATTAAGGAGCGGTGTTGGCAGGCTGCTGGCCTCGTTCAGAAGGATGGAGGCTGCAGGGCTGGCCCTGGGAGGTGCTGCCTCCCAATCTATGAGAGGCCTGGGGACAAATCAGGACATTCTGCTCCACTCCTGCCAGAGGAGGTAGGATCTGGCCAGTCTCGACATTCCAGACCTGCAGGGAACACCCCCAGCTGCTTGGGCTGGAAGAGTTTGTCTCCAAGACATGGCTACACATAACCCTTCTCTCGGGCTACATCTCTGTGCTTCCCAGCTCAGGCAGATGCGCCCTCCGACCTGCTTCGCCACGTGCATCAATCACAGCTACTCGCTTCAGGGACTAAGTTTGTCTGGCGTCTCTGTTACGGCTGGCTCTGCCGAGCCAGCCCAGTCACAGGTGAGAGACTCGTCAATCTCGTGCACTGGCAGCAGAACTGGCTCCCGAGTGCCCATCAGGTCCCCCCAACAGGGCTGCACAGGTGTTGCCAGGAGCAGAATTTGGCCTGCACAACCTTCATTCTGCTGGTCATGCACAAGATGGAAAGCCCCCAACTTGACTTTGAGAACCCAGGGTAAGTGTGCGGGGCTGGCAGCTAGAAAAAGGGTTAAGGCGCTGAGCTCCTTTGAGCCGCAGCGGGCGAGAAACAGACGCCCCCCTGTTATCCTGGAGTCCCTGTTGCAGAGTAGGGGTGCATGTTAAAACTGCCCTGGAGGTGGGGGACAGTGATGCTGAGCCTACAAAGTCGGGTGCAGAGAGAAGCAGCGTATTGGGGCTCTGAAAGGAGGGACGGCCAAGGCCCTGAAACACCAGTTTTCCACCAACGTGCCAACTGGACATGGCTAAGAACGTGCCCCCAAGTAAAGCAGAGCAAAGCTCGCCCAGCCGGTTACCTGTCTGCTATGCTGTTCCTGGTTTCCCTGGTGATGTCGGGGGCCGCTGGCCACGGCTGGCTCACGACGCTGTTGGAAGATGCATTTTCCTGAGTTAAAGCAGTCTCCAGTAACGAGGGTGTGGTCAGCCTGTCCACCTCCACGGGGGCCATGTCGAGGGAGTGCTGGCTGTGCTCGGAGCTGTGCCGGTTCCGCGGGGACAGCAAGTGCAAGGCCGAGGCGGCCGAGGCCATGCTGTCCGCATGGTGGTTGGGCTCCAGCACCTCTGCAGGGAGCCCGGCCGGGGCTGCGGCAAAGCTGCGCTGCAGCGTCTCAGAGGCGATCTCTGGGATGTCCTGGGACATGGCCGTGGAGGCCGAGGAAATGACGTCCGGGGAGCGCTCACGGGTGGGTGAGGCCTGGGCTACCACAAGGGGCTCCACTTCCTGCAGCTCCAGAGCCAGAGGGGGGTTTGCTGGAGTGACCTGACCAATATAAACAAGCCAACGTTCACTGTAATGCAGACACCCAAACCACACAAGCCGTCTCAAGGACCCTCAGCACCTCATGCCAGCCAGCCTTCAGGGCAGAGAGCGGCGAGACCCCCTCCTGGCCTTACTACTGCTGTGCCCCCAGGACAGGGCTGCTGAGGAGCCAGGCAGATGGGGGAGGCCCCCGACATCTGGGCCTGATTGCATTCTGATCCTTTACCGCTCCAGCACCCCTACTACCCGCCAGCACAGACCCAGCTGCCCAGCAGGACAACTCTGTCCTTCCTGTGTGCTGTTAACTCCGTTGGGAGCAGCATTCACTAACCGGGGTCACACTGCACTGAGTCAGGGTTTGCAAACACTTCAGCACATAACACCGCCAGCCCCAGAGGTCCAGGGGACTGCACAGGTGAATCACGTACGTAAGTGCCCGCAGGACCGGGTCTAAGATTTCACGTTTCTCTCACCAAAGAGGCAAGACACACTAGCTAAAGGGGCATCAGCTTAAAACACCTGTTTCCAGTTGAAGATTTCAGACTGATTGTCACAAGTGACATCTAAAGTCTCCAGAACTGAAAGAGATTTGAGGAGATGTTCCTCTTTCCGTTTGTTTTACTGGCTACAATCAATTTCACGGGGTCTTTCCTACAGTCGCAGGGGCAGAAACATTTTAAAAGAGGAACTTCTTGTTGCAGGCCCAAAGCACAGGCAGCAGCAGACTCAGCTCGGATTTCAGTGTAATCCCGCTCAGGAAATGGACAACGTCAGAGCAACCTGTGTTTCCTCTGAGTGTCTGGTAGCTTTCCCTGGGGTGCTTCCTTGACTCCCTTCCACTCAGCGACCAGTCTCCTAGCATGGGGAGTGACTGCTCCTAACGTCGCTGATGATGGAATAAGAAAAGTGACCCTGTGCTAGAGCTGCCCCCATTTTTAAAGCCGTGGCTTTTACGGACAGGCAATCTGCGACGACACGTGCTGACACAGCAGCACCTTCCAGCCAACAACAGGAACCAAACCTGCCAGCCACTCGGATGGGCCAGCCTGGTCACCCTGGTGCATTCCAGCTGGCAGAGGATCATGGAAAGAAAGGGAGAGTTACCATGTGCCAACAGTGCTGGGAGCCTTACCGGGACAGGGGCCTTTGGGGTCAGCTTGTCAGGGAGTCCAGGGATAAGGACCGAATGGTTCCTAGGACTCGTCTGGAGACTGCTGCTACTGCTGCTCAGCGTCAGGCTGGTGTCCAACTGCATCTTTGGGCTCAAAGTCAGGTCCTCAGATGGCCTATACAGGGAGATGGAAAGAGCTGAGCACCAGATTTCGTAGGGTTGGTTCAGGCAGAGCCCCTGAGCTCAGGAACTGCGATTCCTGCTGCTCTTGGTCAATGCAGGAGCGCCTGGCCCCGGTTTACCCAGTGTCCCCCAAGCTCTGTGGTTCCTCCCACCCAACAGGAGACCTTCCCTCGGCATGACCACTCTTCCTAGACTAGGGACTGAACAGAAGAGCTTCACAACCTTGCTAGAGGGAGTCTGTTGGAACTCAGGGGGTCAGATCCTGAGAAGGGATTTGATAGCAGCCTTCAACTACCTGAAGGGGGGTTCCCAAAGAGGATGGAGCTCGGCTGTTCTCAGTGGTGGCAGATGACAGAACAAGGAGCAATGGTCTCAAGTTGCAGTGGGGGAGGTTTAGGTTGGATATTAGGAAAAACTTTTTCACTAGGAGGGTGGTGAAGCACTGGAATGGGTTACCTAGGGAGGTGGTGGAATCTCCTTCCTTAGAGGTTTTTAAGGTCAGGCTTGACAAAGCCTTGGCTGGGATGATTTAGTTGGTGTTTGTCCTGCTTTGAGCAGGGGGTGGGACTAGATGACCTCCTGAGGTCCCTTCCAACCCTAATCTTCTATGATTCTTCTATGATCCTCTAGTCTAGCCCATCTCTGGGGGAGGAGAACAGGACACAGCAGGATTTGTCCTTGCCCAAGCACTGAGGCTTCTATCCTATTATACTCTTCACCACCAGGAAGCTGTGCCTGATGTTCAGTCTAAGTGTCCCTCAGACTCCCAGTAATGCCTCTCTGTCCTTGGGGTCTGCAGCCTTCACTGTTCGCAAACCGCAACACTCCCTCCGGAGGAGCAGGGAGAGCAACCGAGCAGCGGTGCAGTGGGAGAACCTCTCCGAGGCAGGAAACAGAGCAGGCTGCCTCTGCGCCACAGGGAAGGAGGCAGGTTCACTCAGTGCTGCCGTAGAGTGTCTGGAGCGCCAGCCTGCTCTGCAGATGGGGCCCGACTCGGCTGGGAAGGACACGCACTCTGGCTCCACTTACCTGGGCACAGCGGGGTCAGTGACGGAAGCGCTGCTCATGGCTGTGACTGCAGTCAGGGAACTGACGCTGCTTCCCGGCGACATGGCAATCTAGCACAAACACAGATCCATGCTTTGAGAGGAGGCTCTGCCGCTAGACCTCTCCCTGAGCAACTCCTGGCTCCCTCCACAGTCCCACTATGGAGCGTGAAGAAGGTGACAGACTCTCCCAAGATTCCAGATGTGCCTAGGGCACCAGTCAAGGACCGGGCCCCTTCGTGGCCTTTGACAGAACTGGGCATGAGGTTTTGGAGACCCAACTGCGGATCGGATGGAAAGGTCCTTCTGGGAGTTTGCTCCTTTCCTCTCTACTTGCTTTCCCTGCTGCAGAGCACTCACAGGTGGAGTTCGGCAGGGCTCAGCCCTGTCACCCCTCCTGTTCACACACACGCAGCTGCTAGAGGAGAAGGAGATAAGCTGTTCCACTAGGAGGTGCCCAACACTCAGATCTACATCCCCTCGTCCATCCTGGATAGCGTGGTCCCTGGGCTCTCCCCGCACCTGCTACAGGAACAGACCTGGATGGAAGCCAAGTGGCTTGGCCTTGACTTAGATAAGTGCTGCCAACGGGTAGAGAGAAGCATCTAAATGAACTAATGGGGGACTGCTGGTCACCTTCTATGGGATGGGTATGTCTGACCATTGCTGTTACAGTTTCAGTGTGACCAAGGGACATCTTGAGTCCAAGGGGCAGAGGGCAAAAGGGGTGCATAAGGAATCCCCTGGGTCTGGTATTTTCATTCAAGTTCACCAAAGTGTGTCATGTGAGGTCTCTCACAAAACCCTGTCTCACACTGGGCATCAATATTATTGCAAAATGTGTATGGATGGTGTGAGAGGAGTAACGTATGTACACTGAAAATGAAGTTCTTAAAGTCTGTGCCTAAGGACTGGTGATCGGCAAAGGTGAAAAACAGGTTTTCCTCCAGAGAAGAGCTGTTTCTCCATCTATTTCCACGTAGATTAAGTATTGGATGTAAGTTCACTCATAAGTCTGAACCAAATGCTAATGAAGGACCGTGGAATCTTCCAGACAAGAAATTAAGAGGAAGAGGTAACCAGCAGGAGTTACCCTGTTTAGGGGTAGTACAACGAACTTCTGAAACTCTAACTAGGAGAATGGCCACGAGTGGCTTCAGGCCTTGGTTTCAGAACCATTTCAAGCGTCTGCCCAGGTGTAGACAGACAGCTACAAACCTTCCATAAGAGACAGGTTAGAATCCACACTTCTAAAACCAGAACACCGTGGTCGAGCTGCTCAATGTGGCAAGCGGCGCCATGTAGCCATTGTCACACTGGCATCACACCAGCCAGCCCTCGCTGCAGTCTGAGCACTGGGGACAACACGCAGCACCAGCCAGGTCACCCAGTGACATGCACAGCGACCTGGGAACATCTCCAGAGCTTGTGCAGGAAGACAGGGGAGAATGTTATACCTCACTCCTCACAGCCAGCGTTTTGCATCAGCATGAGGCAGTACATCTGGCACCAAGACAAAGCAGCACCCCAAAGTGTCAGTGGGGCACGCTCCAGAGACACCTCACAGACCCATGCTGCAGAGCCACTGGTTCTACACGTGAGGGAGCATTGAGGGGAAGCATCAGATCCAGTCTGTTTCCTCCTGCTGCCCCGGCAAAGCTCTGATACACAGAGACATGGAGGAAACAAACGGTTTTGGATCGCTAAAGACAAGAGGCTGAGCGTAAGAGCCCCACCTTCGCAAACCGAACCACCACTGGGATGACTCCCCACGCTAGGGATGAGAGAGCGGAAAGGCCTATCACGCTGGAGCACGGTCCTGGGGAGTGCTCATTCCCTGGTACGAGAGACGTCGCAGAAGTGAAAGCAAAACCTGAGTCGTCTCACCCAGAAGAAAAGGCACAGAAATTATTCAACTGAACTGTGCGCTCTCCAGTGGCTTCCCAGGCTGCACACATGCCCTCTGTCATGCTCCCTAATGAGGTTGGCCTTGCGGGCACTGCCAAGAGTTGGGGGAGTGACGCTGTGCCAACTGGGGCGCCCTCAGCCATTTAGCAACATGGGGCTTTTCCCTGCTACTTGGCCAGAGAAGAGAGTCTGAAAAATGGGCTTGTTTCTTCAACACACACTAAAGCCTGCTGGGCAATGGTGCAGATTCCCCGGCACCTCTAAAGCAAGCCAGCTCTGCAGACCGAGAGTCCTCTCTGAGCAGCCAGCAGCAATAAAGACAAGCTCTGGGGAGCACAACCAAGCCACTTCAGAGAGGGGCAGCCATTGCACACAGCCCTTGGGAGGGGATCTCCACCCCAGAAGCTAAACCCCACAAAGCCAGAACACGCTGCCACACCGCCAGCTCACTGGTTTGCGGACGGGTCTTGCACCAAAGATGCTCAGGTCCCATCTTCCTGCTGCTCATTGCAGGTCTCTCTCAGCATTAGCTTGGGTCAGCCTGGCATTTTAAGGTGCCACAGCCCACGCTGCTAAGCTCTGGGCTCCCTTCCTCATTACTGTATTTGCATCTCAACCCCGCGAGAAGCAGGAAGTACTGCAGTTTCCTCCCCCAAAAGAAGCCTTGCAGGAAACCTCTGGGATTCAGGTTGTTTGGTCCTAGGAGCCAAGATTTCCTGGTGGACTTTCCATAAGCCAACTGCAAAGGGTAAGAAAAGGCCAAGAGCTCTGAGCGCTTCCTATGGTTTGTACACCAGATTATCTGGACTACCCGAGTTATCACAGTCCAGGTGGGATTCCTCAGCGTGTAAAATCCCAGACCGTCCCCTACATTCCCCACTGGCTCCACCCATCACATCCGGCTACCTGCTGAAGAGATGTGCTTGGGGTCATGAACGCATCTGGGGTCATCAGCTTGGGTTTGGCATCGTTGGAGAGGGCAAGAAAATCCGCTGGCACAGGCAGGTCTGCAATGCGCCGTAAGTCTGGTTGGGAGCCATGGACGGACCCCTTCTCCGATCCCAGCCCTTCTGCGCCCAGGTCAGCCAGGTGGTCTGGAAACGCTTTAGAGAGATACGTACAAATTAACCTTAGAGAGCTTCCAAAGGAGCCAGGCAGGGAGGGTTTTATTCCTACAAAGCACGAGTTATACCACTTCCACCAGTCCAGGCGCCAAAGAACTGAACTGGCAGCCCACGGCTGTCACAGTCAGGGCACGGAAGCAGCCTGATGGAGGAGGAACAGACTCATGGCCTTTGCCAGAGAAGAGGGCGCATGCCAAGGAGGGCATGTGATCCACACGCAAGCTTCCCTGCAAATGGGTTTGAGTGGCACAGCAGCAATACAGGGCAATATACCCACCTGGGGCCAGCCGTCAATCCCTCCTCTGCCCTCCTCACCGAGACCTGTCCTGCCTGAGCGCAGCTTCCCCAGGAGGAAGTCCCAGACCAGCCAGAGGGGGCCCCACAGAGCACACCAAGCACCTTCATCGCTGAACATGCTCTGTGCTCGGCCTCAGCTCTTTAACCTGCCAGGCCTCCCACACCCAGCTCAGCAGTCAGGATGCCCTCGGGGTAACAAAGTCAGGAGCCCACCAAACATCCCTTCCAACCTCGCTGAGGCTGCCAGCAATGATGGAGACACGATGCCGGGAAGCTCAAAGCACCAGATGGTTCTGGCCAGAACCCCCGACTGAAGGGCCTTACCGAAATCTTCATGGGAGCCGTGGGGAGGGATCGGTGCAGCCACATCTGGACTATGAAGAGGTTGGAATCGGATCTGCACATCCTGCAGGGCCCTGTAACGTTCCAAAATGCTGGGTTAGTTCACACATCAGCCACAGAGCCATAAATCGCAGCGATTCCCCTTCCTGGAGCTGGTCCTGGAAAGCGCTTTAGTATTTTCTGCCTATTAAGGACGAAGTGGGAGTCCCCAGTCAGTGCTGCCCCGCCTCAGCTCAGCCCTTCCTGTGCTGACCACACCTGAAAGCTGTCCAGACTCAAGCCCCAGGCAGCCACATGGCAGGTCAGCACTAACCCAGCCAGTCCTGGCCCCCAAGTCAGCAGAAACGTTCAGCTGCTGACACATTGTGCAAAGGCTCACAGCTCGAGAGTCCACAGGAAAAGACACGGGAAGCATTTTAAACGGAGCTAGGAAGAGACCTAGGACCCACTACCCAGTCAGGCCTGAGGCCTCCCAGGCCAAGGATACTCTCCGTGTCGACTGCTCCGGTGGGTTTCATACTGAGGGACAGGACTGGGGGATGTGCGGAAACAGTGGGTGATGACATCCCCCCCGCAAGCAGAGAACAGCTAGTGACCCTGATGGCCAAGGGGGTTTTAGGAAGGAAGGTGCGCACTGGGACGAGCAGGCCAGCTGTCCGAACCACGCCCTATGCATATACTCACTTGGTGTGGACGCAGAAGAGCTTGATCAGCACACCCGCCGCCGATTCCACAGCCCCAGCCCCCTGAGCCCCTTCTGGAAGAGAGACAAGAACTAGGAAGTGGGCTGCAGCATGGGGGGCTGCACATGTCCTTAGGCCTCAAGCTCTCGGGTAGCACAGGCCCTGAGGCGGAGCGCTCCCTTGTGCTCATTCAGATCTCAGTGAAACGGCACTTAAAATCCCCTCGCGCTCTTTCGGACTCTGCCCCTGCTTTAAACAGCCACCTCCTGCCTGTGCGCTCACACCACACAGATCCGTGGGAATGCCCCCTCCGCTTCTCCGAGCGCCATGCCAGAGGGCGAAAGGGAGGCATCTAGAGGGATCCCAGTAGCAGTCACCCAGCGATCCTAAGCCCTGTGCCCTAGCCACGAGCCCATCCTCCTCCCCTCAAATCTGGGCCGCTCTAGGCAGGTCAGTATTGTTCTCCAGCACTGCCAGCTCATCAAGGGAGTTTCTCACTAATATATTCCGGCTGTGTCACCAGGAAGCAGTCCCCAGAGCCTCCTCAGAAACAAGGGTTGGTTGCCCCTCGCCGCTCACCTGTGCTCAGGCTGTCGCTTTCCTCTTCAGCTGGGAGGACCTCCGTGTGCCGCAGCCGGCAGCGGCTCACCACCTGGATGCCGAAGCTCAGGACCGGGTGGGTGAGGAGGAACTCCGAGATGGAGCTGAAGTAAGCTCTGCCCTCCTCCTGGTTCTGCAAAAGCTCCATCACATACAGGACCTGGAAGCAGAGCACCAGAAACACCCTGCAACAACCCAAGTCGCTGGGGCTTTGGCAGCAGACTGCCAGGTGTGGTCAGAGAGTTCTACAAAGAACGCACCACCAGCCTTCCCCTTGTACCCAAGAATAGCTCCCACATGACCTCCCAGAATGCCACACACAGCTTACCAGAGCCAGGCAAAGCTCTTTGGATCCAGGTGGCGCAATGTATGCTGGGAAGTGTAGTCCCCACGAGCTGCCCCTCTCTATTAGAGAGGTACCTGTCTAGGTGTTTGTCACCCATCATCATGGGATCTAGATCTGGCTACAGTATGTCCCATTTTTGCCAATTGCCAATGCAGCATCCCCACTGACGCCTATCGTTAGTGACAAAGTATTAAGTTTTAATTAGCTTAACAAAACCTTAAGTTCCACTATCTAAATTCTGCCTCCTTCCTCCCACCCCAGACGCCTTCAACAAAACGATCAGAGCGCATCCAGGCTTGCTACCCCAGCCCAGGACATCAGGGCTCAAGTCCCGTGTAAGTTACAATTTCATGGACGGCACAGAAATCACCAAATTAGCCCAATACTGTGATTTTTCCAGCAGCGGGGAGGTGGAAGCAGGCAGGTGGGTCGGGGGGGCGGCATGGTGCTATCCTGGGGGGGAGGAGGAAGCATGTCTCACCACATGGCATGGGCCAGCCCAGTTGAGGGTACTCTGCACTGAGCTCTGGCCCAGGCCACACCTAAGGCTTCCTGTCCAGCTGGCATGGGGGAGGGGACAGCACTGACAATGTGGTGATTAGGAGCCCCAGCCCGTCCCGCCCCACAGCAGCCCCCGAGAAGACACCCCGGGAGCAAGACCAGATCAATCCCCCCACTGTAGCCACCCTTGCTGCTGCTTGCACACAAGCAGCTGTGTGCGGAAGCCCTGCCCTGGCAGAGTGATCGGGCTGGGGGGAGGGATCCTGGTCTCAGCTCCTCACCAGCCTGTGCTGTCTCCTCCGGGTTGTGCTGGAGGGTGGGAGGGGGCTCCTAGATGCCACATTGTCAGTGCCACCCTTTTCTCCCTGCCAGCCGGACAGGAAGCAGCAGTGGCAGCCTGGGCACGGAGCTAGCCTGGCCCTGATCCCTGACCCAGCTTGGAGTGGCTGGCACCATGTGATGAGACAACTGACCTGCCACCTCCCCACTGTCCTCCAGAATGGGACCAGCCCACTGACTGCCCACAGGCAGCAGTCTTAGCAGGGATGTCTGCTTCCACCTGGTGGCTGTTGGAAAAATCGCAGCAGTCTGGGGGGCACTCGGCCACCACGATATCCTATGAAACTCGAACATTCACCTGCAAAGCTGCTGAAAGTGTTTTTTAAAAGTCCATGATTGTCACAGGGCCCCAAACTGGACGCATAGAGGGGAAGAAGAGAGCCCCTGTACTGGGCTACAGCAACACCTGGGCTTTCCCACTAGATATCAAGGCCGCCCCAACCACCAGCGTAACAGGCCAGGTCCAGCGAGAACCAACAGACCTCTCAAAGCAAAGCAGTGTCTCTGCTTTGAGATAGCTGTGCTGCTGCCAAGCAGTGGTTACTTGGCATTGCTCTCTCTGTCCTCCTAAAAGCAAGGAGCTTAAACATGAAGGAAAGCCAGTGTCTTTCCCGCCACCCCGTTACAGCAGAGTACATCTGATGCCCCACGCTGAGAGCCCTGCCACTAGACAGGCACCCTGGGGCGGAGGGGTTAATGACAGAGCAAGAGCATATCTCGGAGTCACCTGGCTTTGAGGAGCTCAGTCGAAACATTACAGCACTGGGGGTCAGTTTCCTTCTCAAATGAGAATTTTTACTTTAACACCAGCATTAATCCCGTGCCTCGCTCAAGGCCCCTTTCGGCCCAGGCAGCACCAGCAGAACCATTCTCCACCTTACAATGAAATGGTGCAGGCCGACTTTGCCTCTTTTCAGCAGCGAGTGCAGCCAGCCCTGCCGTAGTTGCGGTGCCTGCACGGGAGTCCCGATCTCCCTCCACCCAGCGTGGCTGAAGCAGCCAGTAAAGTGGGAGCCACCTACTTTTCTCTGCACGTCGCTCAGTATCAGGAATTCGGCAGAGAGGTCCAGGCAGGCTTTCAGACTGGGGGGAACACTCTTGGAACTGAAGATGTCAGGGGAAAAGCTGGGTTCCGCAACAGGAGAGAATACACAGAAGGCGAGAGCCATTAGCACAACTGAAGGCCTCTATGGCACAGCATTCCAGTTCGACTAAGAACAGCTTAGCACGGTGCCGGTCAGATTTTCCGCTGCCTCCGGTAACCGAAGTGATGGAACCCCATGCAAACACGGGAGGGGAACTGGCAGAACAAAATCTCCCCTAACTATGGGCCTAAAGTGTTTAAACGGGGATGCCAGGCTAGTAAGAAGAGGGATCCTGGGCTAAAACACAGCCCAGCAGCTGAGAGACCAGCTGGGCAAAGCACACCACCACTGGAGTACAGGGTAACCATTCAGCACTCAGCTGTGTTCTACTCAGTGGGTTGCGGCAGGGAGATTCCAAAGGAGGGTGATTCTCACGTCTGCATCCACTGGAGCTGCTTCCAGGGCCCATGATCCCCCAGCAGACAGCAGCTTTGGGGGGGATGGAGCACACAGGATTGGGCAGCCGTTCTCAGTGCTGGCTGGCTCCCCAGAGCAGTCTTGTGCTGCCCCAGTAACACAACACTAGGCAGACAAAGCGACAGGGGAAGAGATGCTGGAACTCTCGCCGCACCGGACGAAGCGAGCAGTCACTATTTATACAGACAATGCGTCGGCTCCAGAATGCTTTCCTGGGACCCTGGGTACATCTGTACACTACAGACCTGAGCAAAGATGACCGAGCAAAGCTGTTCAGGGTCAAACCCCGCAAGCCCGGCTATCAGCCATGGGACACCCAGATCCATTTGGCACAGAGCTCACCACAGTACTGACATTAGCAGAGGCTGTCACATTATGGTCATTTGACATAGGAAGAGGCTCCAGGTGGGACTAGAACAGACTACATTGTAGATCGCTGACAGCCTCTTCCTCTGCAGAGTAATTATATTGCCAGGATCCTAATAGGTCTCTGAGTTCTGCTCGAACCTGTGGAATCTTCAGACTAAGCCCCACCTCCCAGAGACCTAGCTTGCAGGTCTAGGTGTATCACCACTCACCGGACAGTTTGCAGACAGGTCCAAGAAACGGTGCACCACATCTTCAGCTCTCGGTTCTGATCCGCTCCAGTGATGAGAAACCTCCAGAAAGGAACCCTGAAGGCACAACAGAGAAGTCTCGGGAAGGAATGCTGTAAGAAGGCGTAGCCCCTCCCTGCAAGCGCCTCCTGCAGGAACACTGCTCAGAGGCTGCCTATGGCTAAACTTGGCCAGTAATGTCCCACACTCCCAGGGCAGTTTCTGCACCATGGGCAGGTTAGAACCTGGCACACCTTCTGAGGCCCTGCTCTCTAGGGAATCAGTAAGACCCCAGCCAAATGTCAGAAAGGGTCGGAAGCAGGAACTACGATAGAAGCTTGAGACAGAGTAAGCCAGGCTGGGCTGATCAACAGCACTAGCCTAAACGTATCATTCTACCTAGACGCACTTTCACTGACGAGTTCTCCACACCCAAGAACTGACTCTAGGAATAGGACAATTTTGCACTGCCTCACTGAGCCCCAACTACTCCCCGGTCGGAGAGAGCAGCTCATTCCGTACAGGACACGGTCCGCTTGCTGCTACAATAGTGGAGTACTGTGTGTGTAAATGCAAGTACAAGGATCCTGTCTTAAACCTATGGAGCTGAGGGTTTGCTACATCCTGCGGCTCAAAGTCCAGGACCAAGACTTACTCTGGGTCTTGTTTTTTGTGATTATCACAGAAGAGCAGGCAGGAGAGCGGCCTGCCGTCATGGGGCTTCCATTCATGCAGGCACCTAGGAGAGAACCAGAGAGAAGAGGGGACAAGTACATCAAAACTAGCAGAAATAGAAGGGTTCTGAACAATTCACAGCCTTCATTACTCAGTCACCGGTTTGAACTGAGCCCAAGTCAGCCGTGATCAAGAGTTATCGCCCGATGGCAGTTTGCTGGCCTGCGTGAAACAAGTCCAGTTGGCAGTGGACAAGGGACTATGCCACAAAAAATACCACAATGATGGGCGTCTGCATGGAGCATCTAGAACCAGAATGGATAATGGAGATTGAGCTCCCCCTCTCGGATTTCTGTGACAGCAGTTCAGTAGGACGACGTTGGCTCTGCCCCATTGCCCGGGCCGTTCCTGTTCTATGGACAGGACTTCTGTCTCCAGCGAGAGCAAGTGAACCTTTCACCAGCAGTAAACTGATTCCCTCCCCTCCCTCATTTTTAGAAGTGCTGAGCACATCCTACAATACTCAGCAATTCTAAAATGCTCTGCAATGCTAGGGTGCTGTATACACATTAGCCCTACAGGTCCTCCTCATGGTCTGAGAAGGAATCAGACAAGGAATCCCCAAGAGCTGAACTTCTCCCTCTCAGCCAGAGGAAGCTCCAGTTATCCTCCGTTCCACGACCCAGCCCTTCTTTTCTGCTTCTTAAGTTACCTTGGCTCATCTTGCCCCTCTATGTAGATCTGCCAGAATTTGACATAGCCATCGTGGCTTGCTGTGGCCAAGACAGTCCCATCTGGAGAGAGCGCTCCCTCGCTCAGGCACTAAAGAGGGAAGAGGAAAGCATACCAGTCATTCCACGTCTCCTCAGGAAATCAGAATTTAACCATAGGGAAAGTGTGATGGGGCAGGGTCCTAAAGGTAAGCCTGTGAGTGAACGTAACCAGGGGTTTATGCCCCCACCAAAGAATCGAATTGTATCCACCCCAGGTAATAATCCCCTTTTCCAGACAGTGACTTAAATATGCTGGGTTGTGCTGGTAGGTAACTGAGGCCCCCATCTGATGTCACTCCTTTCTTAAGAAATTCATATTAAGAGCACATTTAATTTTATTTCCAAATCTTTTTGCTCTCTACTTCTACGATCATTAACTTATACACAACAGCATCAACTTTGCATTTCCTGCTTCTGCCAAGAGTTAAGTGGAGAGAAATATACAAGTTTTTGGAACTGAACAGCCAAAATATTAAATTGTCTCAACCCAAGCCTGTAATTCTGATCCAACCTAAAGCTTTACACCAAAGAGAGTACTCGCCGCTTAGCCTGATGGAAATTGCCAACGAAAACACGATAAGCGGCTTCCACATAATGAGAACACACCCAGTCAAAAGGAAATGTTCAAACACTCATTACAAAAACTTCCCTGTGTTACTGACACTGAAAATGCATCACTTACCTGTAACTGGAGGTTTGTGGAGATGTGTGGTCCCTATCTGTATTCCACACATGGGTATGCATGGGCACCATATGCCTAAGTCCAGAGATTTTTAGTAAGCAGTGTCCGTTGGTCTGCACATGTGCAGTTCTCCTCATGCTCTGAACCAAGGATATAAAGGGCAGTGCAGACTAATGCCTCTCCAGTTCTTTCTCCCACCGCAAATCCAGTTATGATCTGCAGCAGAGGGATAGAAGGCAGGTAGTGGAATACAGACAGTGACCACACAGCTTGAAGAACCTCCAGTTACAAGTCACTAACCTCCATTTCTTCTTGGAATGATGGTCCCTATGTGTATTCCACATGTGGGAGATTAGCAAGGGAAGTCATACAGGAGGTAGGTGCGAGGAGGCAGAAGTGATGGCTGACTAACACTGCTGTCCCCACAGCTATATCTGTAGTAGAAGACTGGACCAAAGTATAATGGCCTGTGAAGATGTGCATGCAGCTCCAGCTAGCTGCCCTACATCTCTTCAGTAGAGGTATGACTTGCAGAGATTGCTTGTGTTCAGGTGGCATGGACCCTCACCCCCTCTGGGGGACAGGGAACGTGAGCTAGTTGGTAGCAAAGGATAATGTAGCCAGACATCCATTTAAAAAGTCTGCGCAGATACAGCTTGAACCCTTGATCTCTGTTATGGTAACAAAAAGTCTAAGTGTCTAAGTGCTTTTGTTCTTTGCAGATAAAAGACCAGTGCTCTTCAGATGTTCAGAGACTGAAGTGTCCTCTCCTCATCAGAAGCATACAGTTTCAGAAAAAATATCGATAAGTGGATGGTTTGACTCATGTGAAACTCTGGAATTGCTTTAGGGTGAATTGGGGAGCGGGGGGTGGGGAGGCAAAGAGAGACCTCCTCTTTATGGAAGGTGGTGTATGGTGGGCCTGCTCCAGCTCATTGACTCTTCTGGCTGATGTGATGGCAACTAGGAAGGCAACTTTCATCAAGAAGTAGGACACAGCACATGTGACTGAAGGGATGTTTGGTGAGAGACGAAAGAATGAGATTGCCGTCCCATTCAGGTGTTGGGCTTCACTAATGGTGGGAAGGATCTCAGAAGTCGCTTCAGGAATCTAGTCGTGGGATGAGTGAAGATAGTGTGGCTGTTGATAGGGGGATGAAAAGCACAGACTGCTCCTAAATGAATCTGCAGAGAACTAACGGAGAGACCCAATGTCTTAAGGCAGTGGCTCTCAACCTATTTACCATGATGGGCTGCATATGCAGCTCTCTGTGTGTTATGTGGGCCACATCCACACAATATAGACACTACCTGTATGGCCCTGAGGATGTCACATAGGCCACAGTTGTGTGCTGACTGGGCCACAAGTGGCCTGTAAGTTGAGAACAACTGTCTTAAGGGTAAGTAGATATTCCAGAATAGCAGGGATCCCAGTGGACTCTAGAGAGAACTAGCATTGTGCCCAAGAGGAGAATCGCTTCCACTTAGCTGAATAGCATCTCCTGGTAGGTCCCTTCCAGCTTTGGTTGAGGATGGATTGAACTGCCTTGGAAAATGAACATTCTACATCTGATGCCCATCCAAATACCAGGCCTTGAGTTGCAGTGGTCCCAGAATGGTGTCCCGGAAAGGTGCCATTGTTTTGCATTAGCAGGCCCAGAAGTGGTCGAATGTTGATGGGCGAACAGGCTGAAATTCTCAGTAGGTCCATGAATCAGAACTCTCTCGGCCAGTTGGGTGCAATAAAGACGACTTGAGCCCTGTTGTAACGGATTTTCCAGAGGACCTGTGGTATTAATGGGATAGGAGGAAAAGCAGATCTGGAGTGATCCCTCCATCGTAGCAGAAGGGCATCTCCCTTTAAGCCTCTGCCTAGCGCTGCCCTGGAGCAGTATGGGGGAAGTTTTTTGTTCACCTGCGAGGCCCCAAGATGACATTTCCCAGCAGGTGAAGACCTTATTCAGGACTGAATTGTGACTCTCCTATTCATGGTCTGTGGAAAAATGTCTGTTAGGGAGTTCTGCAGCCCTGGTAAGCATGCTTCAGAAAGGGCTATGAGATATCTGATACCGCAATTCCAGAGGTTAACTGTCTACACACAGGAGGAGGGATCTTGTCCCCTCTCCTTGCTTGTTTATATAGAAAACAGTCGTCATATTGTCCGACATTGTCTGGATGTGCCGAGATCGGAAGAGTTGGAGGGAAGTGTTGCAGGCCCGATGAACCACTCTGAGTTCCAGTAAACGGATATGGATCTTGGACTCCTGAGAGGTCCACATGCCACGTGCAGTATGGTCATCCACATGAGCTCCACAACCTAGGAGGGAGGTATCAGTAATGATCGTCACCTGGGTGTTGGTGTGAGGAGAGGAGCCCCTACTCAAACTTTCTCCGGCATTGTCTGCCAGATGAGAGAGGCCAGAATTGTTCCTTTGGCATTGTTGATGACTTTTTCTGGTGAGTAGATGAACTGAAGGTTTGCAGGCAATGGAGATGGAGCCGGGCAAATGGTGTCTGGTATGCGACTGAGGAGAGAAAAGGCAAGTTCTGACTGGAGTCGGAGAGCGACCTCTTGTACGAGATCGCCCATGGCAGAGAATCTCTCAATAGGTAGACAGGCACTTGTAGTTGAGTCCTATGGCTCCTATGAAGTTTATGGACCCTGTGGGGCAAAAGGGGACTTTTCATGGTTGACACAAATTCCCTGGAAGTTAGTAGTTGGAGCAGGAATCAGTTGATAAACTGGATTTCCTTGTACAATCTGCCTGTCAGAAACCAGCTGTTGAGGAATGGGAAGAGGGTAAACCGGTTTCTCCTCATCCAAGCTGTCACCAGTGAAAAGACTTTTGTAAAGACTCTGGGTGTCATAGCTAGCCCGAATGGAAGGACTCTGACTTAATAATGGTTTTGACAAAGAAAGAACTTGAGGACCCTTCTGAGGGATGGGTGAATGTCTATGTGAAATTATGCATCTTCCATGTCAAGAGCCATGATCCTGGTGCCATCTTCCAGAGAGGGGATTATTGATGCCAATGTGACCATGTGGAATTTTAGATATTTGGACAATTATAGTTAGTTGGCATAGAGGTTAGGAGTCTATTTCAGCAGTGGGTGGATGAGGTTCTGTGGCCTGCAAAGTGCAGGAAGTCGGACTAGATGATCATGATGGTCCCTTCTGGCCTTAGAGTCTATGAGTCAAGAATTGGTCTCCATCCCCCATTCTTTTTGGGGACTAAGTAGTATGGGGAGTAGCATCTTTTCCCTTCAAGTTGAGATGGAACTCCCTCTATGGCTCCCTGGTGGAGAAGGGAGTCCACTTCTTGACACGGAATTTCCTTGTGAGATTGGTCCCTGAAAATGGACCATGAAGGGGTTGACAAACTCAATCAGATGCCTGGTAGTGAATAATTTCTAGCACACATTTGTCTGTTGTTAAAGCCCTCCAGTGTGGGTAAATTGGATAAGGAAGCCTCCAAAAAATGGAGGGACAGGATGATGTGGCATCAATAAAGGGATGTGGGTCTCAACAGTCCCATCAAAATTAATCCCTTGGCTGTGGGTTAGAGTGAGCTGTGGCAGTAGATGTTGCAGGAGCAGTGTACCTGGACCTTTGAACCCTCTATTGTTTGGTTGATGATTCCTGGGAGCATTGGTAGTAAAATTGTTGAGGTGTCTTGCTCTGTGATGCTGCCTCTTCAGAGCAGGTATAGATATCCACAGAACAAAACATTGTCCTCAAGTCCTTCAGAGAGTGCAAGGAATCATCCATCTTATCACTGAACAGGTTAACTGTATCAACGGGCAGATCTCAAACAGTACTCTGTATCTTTCTAGGGAAACCTGAACATTGTAACCAGGAATCTTTCCTCGGGACAATGGCTGTAACCATCTCTCTGGATGCTGTATCCACAGCATCTACTGCAGCCTGTAGAGTGTTTTGGCCACTAATTTTCCTTCATCAAGCAAGGACTGGAACTGAGCTCTATCTTCCTGAGGGAGTGTTTCCTTAAAATCCAACAACGTCGCATAATTAGTGAAGTCGTATTTAGCTAGAAGGGGCTGATCATTTGAAATTCTAAATTGGAGAAAGGCAGAGAAGACCATTCTCCCTAGGAGGTCGAGCTGTATGGCACCTTGTCCAGGGGTGCAGTTTTGGGGTGTTGCAGCCTGGATCTTTCGGTGACTGCCTGTGCCATCAGAGAATTTGAGAATAGAAACTCTGCCTCCGCTTAGATGGAACAAAGTACAGCTTCTCAACCCTCTTTGGGATGGAAGCACAGGAAACAGAAGTGTGCCACACTGTTCTAGCTGGATCCATGACGGCCTCGTTAACCGGGAGGGCTGCTTGACTGGGACCCACGGGTTGCATGATGTCCAGCAATCTACGTAGGGGCGCCTCAACTTCTTCGAGCTGCATTTGGAGCTCAGACACCACCCTTTGTAGGAGCTCCTGGTATTGCCTGTAGGCGTCAGATAGAGATGGGGTAACTGCCTCATCTGGGGAAGTTGGTGAAGTTGCTCCCAGAACAGTTGGACTAGTCGGATCTGGTTCAACTTTGTCTTCCGCGTACTCAGATGGGGCCAGTTGGTGCTGGCCAAGAAATGGCAAGTAAGGCTCATGTACTGATCCCAGCTGCCTAGAGTAGAGATCCTACGGGAACCAATAATGCCAGCGTGAGGGATCAGCCAGCTGAGGAGGATCCCATGGCACTGGGTACCACCTATCTCTTGCGAAGTCATCTGATCGGCGAACAGAACCCTCATCTCCTAGGCTTCTGTCCAGCCCCGTTTCTCTATGGCAGGGTAGGGGCTCTTCTGGAACCTCCAACTCATCAGATGAAAAAGCTGAATCCTAAGCTACCGGCGAAACCGACAATGCCAATGGCTGGGTACTCGGGCTCGCGGGTGGGAAAGGAGAGCGGCTCTGTGTCCTCAGAATAGCTTCTTCCATGGGCGTAACAGTGTGTCTGAATAAAGAGGAGCTGAGAGGAAATGGGAGTGAGGACAGGGGAGAGCAAAAACGTCCTCTGGGGAAAAGTAGGTCTCAGACTGCCCCAGGGTACAGGGTGAGTCAATTGCTGGAGCCATCGGATCCTGTGCTTCTCTGGTCACGGTGGAAGTCGGATCCCTCTGGGGCCATGATGATATTGGCACAGTCTGATCTGGATGTTGAAGGGACCAGCGGTGGATGTCTATCTTTAGTTTGCGCATCGGACCCAGAACCGACTGACGTGTGCTCCTTCGCGCAACTTTCTCCTGCTGAGGAGATTTACTCAGGACTGAATCTTTAGGACCCATGCATGAGGACTCCCCTGACTCTGAGGAGTCGAGGAGGGATCTCATTTCTTCAGGTCAGCTCTAGAAGCAGAGGGCTTGTCTCTATGCTTGTGAGAGTGCCCCTTACTCTCATGAGAAGCCTTCTCTTTAGGCTTGGAAGTCTTGTCCTCAACTCCTGAGCTTGTGCTTTGAAGGGCACTGCCTGCTGATTGAAGTTGATGTGTGTGTGTGTGGGGGGGGGATGTCTCCCCAGCTGGGATCTGAGTGGGGTCTCATGGCCTTCTCCAGATGTTTAGTAAGTCTTCACTCTCGACCCTCATGAGTTCCGGAAGGGAACGAGCAGCACCTGCTGCACTTAGCGGAGATGTGAGCCTCACCCAGTCAATAACGGCAGCGTTGGTGTTCCTTGCTCATTGACAAGGAGCAGGGGCAGGACACGCAATTCTTAAACCCCGGTACTCTGGGCACAATCCTAGTCTCCTGGGGAGCATTTCCCTGAAGTGGGGGGAAAAGAGCTACCGACCTACACTCATACTTAAGCCTAAAAGAATTGTAAAACTATTTACGATATTCACAGACTGAAGCAGTCAAAATAAGCAGCTGTGGACGCAGAAAGTTCTGACTCAGGCCATGCGGTGGTCAGAAGGAACTGGAGAGGCACTGGTCCGCACCACCCCTTATGCCCTCGGTTCAGAGCACAAGGAGAACAACTGCGCATGTGCAGACCAATGGACACGGCTTTCTAAAGATCTCAGGCATGTGGTGCGCATGCGGACCTACGTGTGGAATACACATGGGGACCATCCCTCGAAGAAGAAATTGTACAATTCTCATTTACTTTCCACCAGTGATGCAGTTTTATTTACTTTTCACTCAGTATGGAGAGCGAAACCAAACTCATTTGTTGTTACTCCTTTCCAGGTTCTAATGCATCCAAGGTTCACACCATCACCTGTTCGACACCTGAAATGTTTTTACTGATATTTAGGCCTAATCTACACACCGGTTTTGTACCAGTACAAATATTGGACAGAGGTGTGATTTTGTACAAATGTAGTTCTACTGCTACAACCTCTAGTGTAGACACAATTATACCAGCATAAAGGTGTCTTCTTCGCTTCTCAGGAATAAGCTTTCCCAGTATAACTGCACCCACACTAGCAGTTGTACCAGCAGAACTACTCCCGTATAGCTAAAGCTGTACCTGGTGCTTAGACAAGCCTTTAGAAATATCACAAATAGGATCTGTAACTCTTAAATTACACTCATTGTCTACAGATGGGTTTTTCGAAAGCACCTAAGTGACTTTCAATGGGAATGGCTCCCAAATCATTCTGGCACCTTTGAAAATCTTATATATGCACAGTTACGAATGATGCACCTTATACACATTGACAGCATCCCCTTATAGTGTAATTAGTTCTCTGCATTCCTATAATTTCAGAAATTGACTGTAGTTTAATGGGAACTAAGCCCTATGTGATACAGAAGTCAGAGATGAAAGAGACCCTTCGATCCCATTCAGCTCCTTGTAAGGGTAGGACGAGGGTCCCCAAAGACCACATACAATGAAGTCTGCCAAACTGAGTTCATAACTTTTCCTACATGTACATTCTTATCCTTCCTGTTGTCATAGTTCCCCCATTCTGTCTGAGAAGGTGAAAGGTAGGTGTGAGACCATCAGAAGAGATGCCACTGTTGAGAAGGCAAAAGCCAAAGAGCCTGAATGCCTTTTTACACCCCCAGGGCAGCTGAGCTTTGAGGGTCTACCTGGTAAGCCGCACACTTCTAAGGTAATCACAGAGATCCACACAAAAGGACTGAGTACCATGCTCCACAAGAGCCATTGGGTTGGGTAAGTAATTTGGCCTTTGATTATCTCCAACAGCCAAAGCATTTATGGGCCAACACAGCATTTCTCCAGAGATGGCTTTTGGCTGTAACAAAAATTAGGGTTGCTTTGAGATGCAGGCTCACCTGCCACTCTCTCTGATGTTTGCAGAACTGCCCACTAAGCCCGTAAGCAGAAACTGCAGGACAATCTGATTCTCCTGAAAATGGCTGAGCCACTAAACACTGTTGAGTTTCAAGGAACGATGGCGTCCCCACCATACTGCTTAGTGACTCGCAGCCTCAAGGTGCAAATGAGCTTATCCTGCAAGACAGACTGTAGAAGTGACAGCCTGGCCTCTCCATTCTGAGGGGCACGGCAGGCGTCTATCTCCTGGAAGTGCCTGCCCTTACCAGCCCCGCAGGCAATGCATACGAGGACCCAAGGGCATAAGGAGCTAAGGACATGATCACAGCCCTGCTTGCCTTTGATTTCATCAAGCGATATGAACGTAGGTATTTATGCTGCAACGTTCAGGAATGCCAGACAGATGACTCAGCAGCTTGGCAATGGCAGAGACATTCATTCAACATTAAGCCACCGACAGCAGTTCAGGGCTGCACCATCTTTACTGAAGGTGGGTAACAGTTCAACTCTTTAGAACAGAAAGTCGAGGGAGCTCAGGGTTCAAGATTTGCAACAGAGACCGAAAATGATGTGGAGAGTGCCCCAGCGATTGGCTTTGGTGTGCCAGTGACTTGCCTGTCCCCACACTGCTTTTCTGAGCAGATCATCCACCAGAGGGCTCTAGATAACAACAGGCAGCAGTGCTCTTACCGTGCTGTGGCCTTTCACCACAATGAAGCCCTCTTTGATGTTAGTCACCTCCACCGGCCAGGAACTGTTGTTGGCTCGGATAATATCCAGATCCCAAACCTCTGCCTGGAGGAGAACAAGGAGAAATGAGTACACGTGCATGCCTGCAGGCCAGTGCCTGAGACCTCCCCGGCTCCTTCTAACAGTCACAGCTGCCACGAACCCTCTCATCCAGCTGCCACCTCTGGCCCGTGCAGCACTGGGCCGCATGCAATATATTCCATCAGAGCTACACAAACACAAAACAGCTTTTGGGCACAGCAATGATGGATCCAGCCTCATGCAGCTGCCTCAGAGGCCTAGGGGCAACAAAAGCCTTGTCACGTCGGGGAATCCAAGTTTGGGCTCGTATCCCTGCGCTGTGCTCAATGCCTGGGGAGCGTCAGTCAGAAGAACCTATCAGCCTAGTGCAGGGGCTCTGAAGAGGGGCAGGGTAAGGAGACACTCCTCAGCACAGGTGTCCCTTCTATAGGTTAGATGGTGCCCTCCGCCCTGACATCTGTGGTGGGTAAGACAACCTCAGACTCAAGCAGCCCAGTTTTCTGAGTGCCATGCGTGCATGGGCAGATTGCCGCTCCTCAGCACTGCGCATGGGGGCAGATTTGGATTCGGTGACGCCCCAGTGGCCAGGCGTTCAGTTCCTTTTCTGATTTCTCATGACTGCAGTGACCGAAGAGCCTGGAGATCAGCTAAATTAGGTACGACTCTGGAAATCAATCAGGTTTGCAGCATAACCAACTTGAGTGCTTAAGAAGGGTTCTTTTCGCAACGAGGAGTTCACCACCATGCTAAGTGGGAAAAGCAGAGCCCAAAGCACAGGAATCAGAGAGACTGGCCTAGTCCATCCCATCCAGCCCACCAGGATTATTCCCTACTGTACATTTGATAGTTAGACAGCACTAGTAGTGTCCCAAGTGGTGGATTCCCACCCCTTTCCTTTGTAGCCTGATCACTTCCTGCTAGTGAAATGTTTCTCCAGATACGAAGCCTTTATTGTCCCCTTAACTTAATCCCGCTGTTTTCATTATACTCCACGGGTCACTCATTCGCCTTCCTTGGCATTCCCACCCCTCAACTATTATATTCCCTTCGCTGCCAAGCTCTATGGATTTAGCTGTTTTAAAGGGACAGTGTCACGATGCCTCTGGGCATACAGCCCAAAGCCACATTCACTTTTCTGTTGCACTATCACACTGCAGATCCGTGCTTTGCTTGCTGCCCTCTGCCATCCTAAGGGCCATTTGGTGTTGCTGCTTTCCAGAGGAATTACTCCAGAGAGGTGGTGTGTTTATTTGTCCCTTGATGTATTAGCTGCATTCCCCCATCCGCCTGTGTCTCACATTAATTTCTGCTTATGTTTCTAGTCTCTCTAGCCCTAGATTAGTTCTCTGCCATACTTCTTGTTCACAGCTTCTTCCCATTCTGAGCCATCTGCACATGTCACTGATGTGCGGGTTACTCCCTCTATTAGATCAATGCTGAGCATGGTCCGTAAGACCCTACCTAGCAGCAGACTGGAGATGAGACTCCTATCCAAGGAATCCACTCTGAGGGCTTCTCTACATGAACATTTAGTTTGCAGTAAGCGGGGGTGCGAATGTAACATGCACTAGTCTGCCACAGACTAATGGGCCATGTGGGCCCTGCTGACGTACACAAACAGTTGGTGAATGTGCTTCGATCTAGTCCTGTTTCAAAGAGACCTAGATCAAAGCACAGTAACAAACTGTTAATATACATCAGCAGGGTACACACGGACAGTTAGTCTGCACCAGACTAGTGCAGGGTAGATTCACCCCCCAGCTTGCTAGGAACTAAGTGTTCGTACAGACAAGCCTTTAATGTCTGCTTTGGTGAGTATCCCTCAGACCCAGAATCTTGTTTTTGGCACAGCATTCCATTTGTTTCTCTTGAAAGTGAGACTACGAAGCTTCAGCTGACAGCAGGCTCACGTGGAGCAGCACATAACCGTGTTACACGTGCCATTCAGTAGCATTCTAGAAAAGATGATGCAACGCTGATGAACATTATTCTTAGAGTCCCACTGGAGTTACTAAGCAAGCATCGCCTTTTAAACATTTCCCGTTGGCATCTAGGTACCATGGTGACGGGAGCATGAGAAATGCCCAGGACAGATCTGGGACAGTGGCACTTTGCACAGTAAGCGTGTATTGCATCCAAACCTCGGTAACAATCGTCCACTGAACAACTCCTCCCATGTGCTCTGTTCACCAGTTTTGATGGTAATACCTGCTTAAACTGTTCCCAAACTGTGGGCCATAGAGAGCTTTCTGGTCACATGGTCCTAGCTCTCCCCGTCTCCATTCACTAAATCGCACTAAAATACACTATGTATTTCCTGATATTTGTTTCCCATGTAAGCAATTGCTATAGTTGCCACAGTTGCTGTAGTTCCATCCCCAGCGGGAGGGAGAAGTGGCTGAATGACCCTGTGATGGAGTGGAGGGAGTCATACAAAACTGACTCTCTTAAACTGTGATCCACTATGAAGTTTGAACCCCCTGTACCAGATGGTTCAGTCAAGCCTTCTTCAAACAAACATGTGGACAAGGGGGATCCAGTGGATATAGTGTACTTGGACTTTCAGAAAGCCTTTGACAAGGTCCCTCACCTAAAGGCTCTTAAGCAAAGTAAGCAGTCATGGGATAAGAGGGAAGGTCCTCTCATAGATCAGTAACTGGTTAAAAGACAGAAAAAGGGGAGAAATAAATGGTCGTAATGGAGAGAGGTAAATAGTGGCGTCCCCCAGGGATCTATATTGGGACCAGTACTGTTCAACATATTCTTAACTGATCTGGAAAAGGGGTAAACAGTGAGGTGGCAAAGTTCGCAGATGATACAAAATTACTCAAGAATTGGAAAAGGAACAGAGATGAACAACAAAAATGATTAGGGGTAAGGAACAGCTTCCATGAGGAGAGATTAAAAAAAACTGATTGTTCGTCTTGGAAAAGAGATGACTAAGAGTGGATATGATCAGTCATGATTCTATAGACCTGGGTGTGGAGAAAGTGAATAGGGAAGTGTTATTTACTTCTTCACATAACCCAAGAACTAGAGGTCATGCAATTAAATTAGCAGGCAGCAGGTTTAAAACAAACAAAAGGAAATACTTCTTCACGCAACATAGTCAACCTGTGGAACTCATTGCCAGGGGATGTTGCGAAGGCCAAAAGTATAACTGGGTTAAAAAAAAAAAAACAGATTAAGTTCATGTAGGATAGGTCCATCAATGGCTATTAGCCAAGATGGCCAGGGACACAATCCCATGCTCCAGATGTCCCTAAGCCTCTGGCTGCCAGATGCTGGGATTGGATGACAGGTGATGGATCACTCAATAATTGCCCTGTTCTGTTCATTCCCTCTGAAGCATCGGGCATCAGCCACTGTTGGAAGACAGGATACTGGGCTAGATGGATCTCTAGTCTGACCTAATACGGCCGTTCTTATGTTCCCTGTAGCAGATAAGCATTCATATGGAAGAAGGAAAGGCTCCAAGGGAGTCCTGTCTCCTTCCATGTCACCAGCAGAGACTGTGCAGCACACAGCATTCTAGTGCTGTCCAGCAGATGTGCTTGAGCATTTGCTTTTCCTTAAAAAAAAAAAAACACCAAAACTCTCAATCAAGTTCCATTTAAAAAAACTCCATTAGAAAAAACACAAAGGCTGAAAAGTGAACAATAAATAGGTAAGAAATGTCCGAATTGAGGTTGCTCACGCAAACTTACTCCTGCCCCCTTATGCACATGCACTACCAGACAGATCACTTATTGTTCCAACCAGGCCCCCACCTGGTAGTGCACAGAAAAGGCAGTGCTCCGCACAAGGAGTCCATGTTTATTTTCACGCTTCACACCATTCAAGCACCTCCCTAAATGAGAGTCCGACGAACCTCGTCACTGCAGTGTTTGAGAGCCTCTCAACAAGCACATAGCGAATTTATTCTCAATGTTTCTGTGAGGCAGGAAAGTGTTATCCCTATTTACAGATGGGAAACTGAGGCCCAGAGGCCAAGATTTTCAGAAGTGACCTGCTGCGATTGTGGGAACCTCAAGTTTTGGGTGTCTAACTTGACACACTTTAAAAGGGTCTGATGCACAGGACTTTCTGAAAATCAAGTCCTTTCAGGGTGTCTTAAAGCACTTAAGAACGTAGGCGCCCCAAACGACTGGGTACTTTTGAAACTCTCGTCCAGAGAGATTAAGCATCTGGCCCAGATCTGAGGTGTGTGAACTGAAGCCACATCTTCTGAGACTCAGCGCAGGGCCTCATCCACAACATCATCCTTCCTCATTCACCACACACTGTTCACTTTCTGCTGAGCACAAGTGGCGCTGAGGGCTCCAGCCTCATTCACTGCACAGTCATACCTCTTTCACTGTCTGATCTGGGGACTCAGCAGGCAGAGAAATGAAGTCATGCAATTTAATGTGCCATGCTAACCCATATTCACAGGGGAAAGTTAGTCTAGGCATTTCCTGACTTTTGAACGCTTTGCTTTGCAGTTTTAAGGCTCTTTGAACGTGGTCTTTGGCTCACTTATTCAGCTTTCTAAACTAAATGGTTTGGAATTCAGTCTCCCTCATGTGGAAATATTTCATGCATCTAATCTGAGGTCCCTTCTCTGTTTCTGATATTTCCTTTTTGAAAAGAAGTGTTGAGAATTGAACATTTCCTATTTAAGGAGAGGCTTTTACCCCTGATCTGCAGAGTGGCATAATATTTTCTGTACTATTCTCTAGCTTTTTCTTGACACAGCTTAAACCCATTTGCTTTTTGATTGTCACTGCATGCCGAGCAAAGGTTTTCACAGAACTGTCCACAGCAATACCCTCAGAGGCCACAGTTAATTTAGAAACCAGCATGATCCTAAACAGGAGCAGTCTGGTTTGTCTACCAAGCATACTCACTTAGGTTCAACAACAAACCTGGAACACAAGGACCTCACATGAGGTCAGGCATGTCCGACCTAAAGTCACTTCTGCCCCCTCTGACTTTGCTCCTGGGGGAAGGGGCCGGGGGCTTCCATGCCTGCACACCTCAGAGCACACTTTAGGTGCTCAATATAATTGCGGTTTCCAACATTTTTATTATTATGAACAGTACCATATGCACTATGCAGGCTGTGTCAGCAAGAGCATCTGCTTACTGCAATCAAAGTGACAGGAAAGGCAGAATTCAGCAGAAGGCCCCTTTTATTTTACAAAGGCACCACAGTCTGAGTTCTGTTTTGTGTTCACAACAGTGAATGTTTCACAACACTGGCTAGAAATCAGGAAGAGGCATACGGCGTTACCAATATACCTTACCGCATACCTGCAGCACCCTCATTGCTAATCCAGCCTCAGGCCTCTCCTGAACACATGGGTCATTAACGTGGGAGGGTTCTGCTATTCAGCGTAGTCCGTAACCATTACATTCCCATCATGTGACCATACCCGCATTTCAATCCAGGTACCCAGAGGAGGATTACAGTCTCTCTTGGGATTACAATAGGGGATAACGTTTCAAGTAAGACCCACAAGCCTCCTTACCCTGTCCTCGTGCAGCAATGCCAATGTTTGGCTGCCCTCTTCACCGCTCTCCTCATTCTCGTCTGGGATGAAGGGGCACCATATGATTCTCCGGAAGCTGTTCAGCGGGGTGCCCTCAGGTCGTTTTATGTTCACCAAGATCTCCTCTCTAATCACCACGTTAAGGAAAACACACAGTTCTGGCTGTTACTAGAGTTCAGATATAATCCTCTCAGGATGGATCCTTGTGATGTCTAAAACAATTAGTGCTTTTTAGCTCTGAATTACTATCCACAGAAACCAGTTACAAGGACCTTGGTGAGGGAGGCAGGTCGCCTTACCTCCACTGGCAAGAAAGTGACATTTACAAGTAACACTTAGATCCTTGTAAATTTCACTTATTGTCTGCATACAAGAATGGACAGACACAGCAGAGAAACAGATTAGGGTCACATTTGCATGTTATCAGAAAAATTCTAAGCTTTTTTGGTTTTGTAGGGCTGGAATCTGAATTGGCTCTGGTTTTATTATTTCAGCCAGCACTGTGGTATGACTTGAAAAAACAATGGAAAGAAATGCATGAAGGCTATCCCAATCACACAGAGGGATCCAATTCATATATCCACACAGAGAACTTTAAATAATCACAATATGCCACGGGTCACCCTCACTCCTCATTTTGAAGTAGTTATACACATCAACGATAAGGCTGGGAAATTGTGACCCTGAAGTAACGTACTTCCCAGGAACACTGGAAAAGTAACTCCGTCAGGAAAGGAAGAGGTTCACAACCCTAAAATCCAGGGACTCACTTCAAGCAGACCAAAAAATGCAGTAAAGATGGGCTTTGGGGTAATGGGCTTTGCATCCCAGCCCTCTTTCCCAGAGCCATGGAAAATATAGATAGAGCCAGATGGATGTAGGCCAGTGTCCTTGTAACATGATCCAGATGGCAACACAGAGCAGTAGGCTTGGGCGAGCCAGGAGTCCATGGGCCTCCTGGGTGAAACCCCTCCTTGCCAGTTACTCCTGTCTGAACACCCAGCTCAAACGCTTGTCTAGTCTCTCCTCATCTTGTATCTTGATTATTGCAGCATCCTTTCCTCTGGCCTTGACAAATGCAACCCTGCCCTGCTCGGACCCATTCAGAATGCTGCCACAAACATATCACCCTCTCTTTGCATCTCTCCACTGGCCCCCTCTTCATTGTCTCAAACATAAGTTGCTCATCTTCACTTTCAAGGCCCTTTGGGGCCTATCTCCGCTCTACCTATCATCTCTCATTCACTGGCTGGCCACTGTCATGTGATCCTTAATGGGAGGAGCAAGACTACCCAGGCTCCTTGCCTGTCAAGCTCTAAGGGAAACAGGAGATAAACACAGAGGGAAACCCGATCAAGTGTCCCTTTGTAAAGGCCCTGAAATTGAGCCTGGCTTTGCTGTTGCATCCGTGTGTTGCTGCTACACAAATACTGCCACAGAGTTTATTCCGATAAGATACTGGATTTTCCCATTGTCCATGGCCAGGCCCCAGACAAAGAGGTTGCCAGCCTCGTCCAGGCAGGCCAGCTGGTTGGAGTTGAGATGGGCGAAAGCCAGGTCTGCCACGCCGCCCGTGAAGCCTTTCAGCAAGGTCCGCTCGGCAGTGCTGATGCTCAGCACCCGCACCATAGCCGAGCCATTGCTGGCACCTACCAAGGAGAACACAAAGGAGAGAAGTCAACGCTTGTCAGCTCTTTCGTCATAGGGTTTCCTCTTGCCTCAGCAGCTACCCTCCAGGCTTCAGCATCCAGGCTGGCCATCAGGCAGTATCGAGGCACTGACAAGCCCCGGCAGCACGCCCATCCCAACAAGTGATGGGTGAGGGCAGAGAAAAAGGCCACAGAGCAGGCCCAACGAGAGGTCACTCTTGCAGATGATCCGAAGCCTGTTCCACATGTCCTGCAGAAGCTGATCTTCCCTTGTAAACTGCACCAGTACCACAGCCCCACACTGTGCCTGCTTTTTTGTGAGCTTGTTTCTTCTAAAGTTTATCCTAAATGACACGACTGCTCTTAATTTAAGCAAATCAATTCATCCTATGTGTCTGTGCTGCTCTCTGTCCTCAGGAAGTACCTGTTCTTAGCCAGGGAGAAAGGTTTGTTCACAGCAGAAGGGCTACCCTGGAGGAGTGACCAACTTCCAGTGGGATAGAATCAGGTTTCTATGGACTCCCAGCTCTAGCATGGCTTATTGACTCCGTTCAGTTTCACACAGCCGCACCTCCAGAGCAAACAGGACCCAGATCTTAACCCGGGGGAACAGAGTGACAGGAGCAGCATCTGCAGCGACTAACTCACATAAACACGTCCTAGTTTCCCTTCATGCTAGCCTGGAAGCGTGCAACTCCCTACACTATTCCTAAGCCTTACTGAATCTTGTGGTTTCAATGCACCCCTCCCGCAGGGCGCATCCCACCTCCTCCCCTTTTCCTGGGAAAGTGTCCGCTCTTAGGGACACAGCTAATGCCAGGACAATCTCTCAGCTTCACCCTCACTGCTCCCTGCCTCCACCTGGGCTTTTCCCAGTCTCACATTTCTAACTCCAATGACTCCTCCTGCCCCAGGGGCTGTACCCAACTTTTAGTGTTTCAATCCACCCATTCCTGTTGCTCCAGTCCCATCCCTACTCCCAAGACCACCTGACCCACAATAACGCCCCCCCCAACATGGGAACCAGAAACGGTGAGCTCCACACCTAGCGTTAGGCTGCACTGGTAACAACTGAAGGAGGAGCCCAATACAGATCACACTCACAAAGCAGCAGGAACTGGTCCTCACCTCTAATGGCATATGCCAGGTAGGAGTTTGATACAGCTATCAGGTTGCCATAGTAGTATTTCTGCTCCCAGTCATACCTGGCTACTGGCTGTATTTTTACCTAGATGGAGGAAAGAAATAAAGAGGAGCTAAGGCAAAGTGAAAGAAACAGAAATATCTGCAATAGAGCCACCAAACAACGGAGAAGGGTAATGCTCTGGCCGGCAGTTGGCCATTCCACAGTGAGATTTCAGAGCGAAGCAGGTGCACTACAGCCCTGCGTATAGGAAGAGACTTCTAGCGAAGCTGCTGAAGCGTCCCTGCTCCTGCAGGGAGAAATGCTGTTTACACTGGAGCAACTGCCACTACGATTCTCTATTGTGGAACGATGCTAGCAAAGGGATTGAGGCCAAGTCTGGGATCCCACTTAAAAGTCAGCGGAAAGGGTGTTTGGGATAAAGGCACCATTCAGTCCCTGGGGTGAGGGCAGCTTCACCCTGGCTTCAGGATTCCCTTCTTGGGGATCCAGGAAGGGCTCACACAGGGGCCTGGCCCAACTTGGTAAGTGCCACCCCGGCAGGAGGTGCAAAGTAAGGAACTAAGAGGGACTAGGAGAGTCACAGCAGTAAACACACCCACTTCCATGTGAGACTGCCTGGCAGATTCCATCCCATCCTCTCACACCGGAGGTGGCCAAGGGGGCTCACATGCTCCATCACTGCAGCTCATAGCTAGGCATGAAGCCATAGGCTCTGGAAAAGCTCTGAGTGATGCAAAGCGTAGCAGAGCTTCTGCTGAGCAACACGGATGGCCACGAATACATTCTTCAATCACCCCTATAACCAAGCAAGCTGTTACCCTCCTCCAAGCCAGGCAGAAAGAGAGGTATTTCTGTCTGTCGCTCCATGGGGGGTGCACAGATACTGCGGGGATGCGGTACATAGGTTAGATACACCCTCCCCTTTACCTTGTTGCTCCCTCTGGCCTTACTGGTGATGCTAGAGTCACTGCTGGCCACAATCTCCACGTCTTTTGCCGCTATCACCACGCAGGTGGAGCTGTCATCTCCAGAAAGGCAGCTTTTAAGAGAAATAAAGAGCTCAGCTCACACACCCGGCCTCTCTGGGACCATGAGAGGGGAACCCAGCACAGGTATTGCTGGTAGCCATTTTAATCCATAACTCAGAGAGACTTCTGGGCAGCTTCCAGGGTGCATGCTGAAGATCAGTACCAAAGAGGGCCATTCATTCATCTAAAAGACCGCTCTTTGGCAGAATCAAGCACAGAGGCCTGGCTTGCTCCTCCTCAAGTCCCCCAAAGAGCTCTCTCATAGCCAAGTTATCCAGTCTCCTGTTCCAAATGACAGATTTACTCTGAGCTACTTTGGGCCACACTCCAAATACCTCCAAGATGCAGCTGGCCCAATGCCAACCAAGCAACTAACCCTGGCAGTGAAACACGCTGCTAGGCAATTCCCTCAGCAACAGCTCAGCAACAAGGAACTTGGCAACAGCTAGTCTTCAGAAAAGCCAAACGATAAGCTCGTCAGGCGAGAAAGCCTAATGCTGAGGAGTCAATGCAGGAGGCAGGGTACTAGAGCGTGTAGACCAATGGGCTGCTCCTAGGAGCGCGCCTTGTGTCACTCACGTTTTGGAGAAATAGCCTTGGACCCACTATGCACGGACACGCCCTTCTGTCTAATTAACCCACATCTGTGTATGTTCACAGATGCACCTAATTATTTCTCCTATTTAGTGGAGGGTCAGGTAGTCACTTGACCTGTTCTTCTGCTGCATGATACCTGAAGACAGAGTCTGAAAAATTCAGAGTTAATAATGCAAGTGACAGAGGGCATGGGGTAGCTGAAGTCTCCATATATGGGCAAGTTTCCAGCTATACCTTTGCCAATGCAGACCGCTGATCCCCGGCACCCCCACTACACAAGTCCTGAACTCGTCACAGCGCTCTGCTGACGCTCCTTAATCCTGACATGCGGCACACCCTGCTCCTCCTTCCCCCACACAGCTCCACCAATGCTCCTCATTCCTGCTATGCAGCAGGCCCTACTGCTCAAGGCCTATCATCAGAATTACTCAGCATCAGAACTCCTCCTTTCCCCACTGACCAGTAAAAACATGGACACGGGTCGTCCGAAGAGACAGGATTGGCTGCTGAATTGCTCACAACCTCAACCTCATTTTCACAGCTAAGAACCGGGTTTGACCACTCTCATCAGAACCAAGTTCAGATTGAGCTTCCCCTTACCGATGCCCGGTGCTCAGCTTCCACCCTCCCTGGGGAACACTTACATGACTTGCTTCTCCTGCAGGGTTCCCAGAGGAACAGTTCGGAGCATTGGCTTAGCCAAGGGAGCTCCATCGCCAGCTGCAACGGGGTCTGGCACCAGCAGCCCATTCAAGTCCCCGTTGAACGAGTTGGGTGGCCTCTGGTTTTCGTTCACTGAACCTAAATGAAAACAACATGCGCAATATTTAATCACAGGAGTAGCACAGCGTGAAATACCCTACCTCAGGTGCCACTGCCCTACCAGCTGGGGTATGCTGACTCAGCAGGAGGAAGGCCATGTTCCGAGAGAACATGTGCCACACACCTGTGTAGGGGTCCTTTAGCTCTTCTCCCATCAGGATAAGTCTTCTCAGTAAACAAAAAGGAGAAGTCAATGGACACAACCAAGAAATCCATCAAACTCAAGTTACTGAATGCCCAACACAGCAGTGGTGTCGAATGCCTGCCCTGTGGGCCAAATGCAGCCAGCTCAAGACATTCATCCAGTGTCACACTGAAAGACAGGTCTCTAGTCGTTACGGCTGCAGAGGAAGCCTTCCAAAAATGACCCAAGTAACTGATGTGGTGGTAAATTCCTGAGTCTGCAGACAGCCTGACACAACAGATGTGAGCTACCATATTCATCTCAACTAGCTAGGGACTGAAGCCTAATGAAACTAAAAGAGAGATCATCAAATAATGTGGGTTTGCAACCGTGCACCTAGTATGTACCGATAACTTCTGCAGCTGTTGCATCCACATCAGCTAATCCCATGTGCAACTGCCAACACAAACAGCAGAAATAGCAGTTGGCCTCCAAGTACCTATGATATTTCCTGAGTTTACCAGGAGCAGACGGATCGTACTGCACCCTGACCCTGTGTGCAAACCTCCCTCTGTTATGAGCAAGAGCTCTGCTTTGAATCAAGGCATGTATATGGCCCTAACTTTGTACGCCTGGCCTGGAACATGTTGCCTTTCAACTAGAGGAACTCCATCCCAGTTTGTAACGACCAGTCACCAGGCCTGCTGGAGGCTTTCAGAAGGCCAGCAATGTCAGGGACACATTTCCATGTCAGTTACTCAAGTAGGAAGGGCTAAGGGTTAACAATCCCAAGCAGAAATGAACGAGCACCAAAACCACCTGGCACCGTGCCTTGCCACTTGACAGTCACTTGCTTCAGCAAACTCTCTTTTATTACAGCTGTGTGAAATTTTCACTGGACCAGAAAACTAAAACCTGGTTTATTGTTGCCCTGGCAACAACTGCTGCAATGGTCTTGTTGTGAAATGGCTGCTCCTACAACCACAGGTTAATGCTCCTTTGTTATTGGCAAAGGTAATGAACCCAAATATAACTCCCTCCACAAGCAGCACTTCCTCAGAAAGCAAGACAAACTTTCCAGTTACCAAACAGGTTGGTTAATTGCTTTACTATATCAGGGAATGCAGCTAATGCTGCTGCCAGCAGAAGTAATTGTGAATAGAATTCATTCTCCAGGTTTATTTAAAAGAATGCTTTCATGTAACAAGAGGAGCTAAATCAGAGACTGCACATTCAACATCCCAGAAACAGGCATGCGGGACTGCATTATCACAGTGTGGGGATGTCTGGGCCCCTCAGGAGAAGCCCAGGAGCCATGCTAATCGGCATTACATGGAGCAGATGGCAGCTACATTCATCCTCTACACAGAGACTCCAGGCCACAGAATGCACTGCACTCCCTACCATAGGGTGAGGACTGCATCTATTGTGGCTTGCCCAGCAGCACCATGAAACTGATGCAGTCCTAGCGGGTTTCACTCTGCCCTTCCTTGTTGCCCCTGCAGGAAAGTGCTCTGTGCAGCACAGCTGTGATCTGCTGTGGCAAGAGATGCTATAAAGGAGGTAAATTCTCTGCTCTCTCTATACCCAGAGATAGTGGAGGTTCACATGCACCTTTGCTGCTGGTGCCAGAAAAATGCAATCCTGGGGGAAGAGAGAAAGAGCATCATATAGCAATGGGGGCATGGCTGGCTGGCACAATGACCTACTGCAGCACATCGGAGTTCAGGAGCACATTTAGTCCCTTGCACCTCATTCCCTAGCCCGAGCCAACTGCATTGCAGGGGCAGTACACTCAGACATATGTGGGGGGAACAGGGTCACTCTAGCAACCACATCAACAGGAACAAGAGTCATCCTGAACTACCACTGTCCTTCCCCGTGGCTTCAAGGAGAAAGCACGAGACAGGCACATTCACCACCATCCTTCAGAGAAAGGAAAGCAGCCGATCATAAGCTGGGGGTTAGACTCACCTCCTCGCACAGGACTGTTCCTGCTGCCCCATGCAAGGGAACACTGGTTTGTATGCAATAGAGTGTCACATTAAGTCAGTCATTTGAACAGGGTGATGGGGCTGGTGTGCCGCCTCCTGCCAGCAGTGGTTTGGATGAGGATTTCGAGGAATGCTGCCCAGCTCTCTAGCAAAGCCCTACTAATTAACACATTGGCACCGTTAGCAGCAGTGGGCACACATCAGGCACTACCAAGTTAGGCTAGGAGATGGTGAGAAGAGACAGCACTGCTTTCTTGGGGTACACTCCCAAAGACAAGGCGGCAGCTACCAGAGTGACCCAACCATCTGTGGCTGAGCTGGGAAGGTATAGAAATGAGTGACATCTGAGTCGCTGATGGAGCAGTGTTGGCCTACTGAAAGTCGCTGATACCTCACAGAAAACAGTCTGTGGAGACAGCTGCAGGATTACTTTTGGATCAGAAGGGATAACACTTCCCATTCCAGAACATGGGAGGTTATTCATTCTAAAGGTAGCTCTATTGCAGAGTTTCTTTAGGTTACTAATCCAAGCAAATCATCACACTGGTAAGAAAAACTCTCAAACAATTGTAACAGCAAAACCTTTAAGGGTGAAAAGGAAAAACAAATAAGCCAGGAAGTTCTCAGGCTTGTCTACACTTGATGCTGCGGCGAGCGATGCACCAGTGGTCGATTTAGCGGGTCTAGTGAAGACCCGCTAAAATCGACTGCTAATCGCTCACCCATCAACTCCTGTACTCCACCAAATTGAGAAGAGTAAGGGGCAACAAGGGGAGAGTGTCTCCTGTTGACGTCGCATAATGTGGACCCCACGGTAAGTAGATCTAAGCTATGTTGATTTGAGTTACGCTATTCACGTAACTCAAATTGCGTAGCTTAGATTGACTTTTCCCTTTAGTGTAGACAAGGCCTCAGTTAAGAAGCTCAAACCAACCTTAAATCTGACCTCTATAGTCTCTTGCTCACCCTTCCACATTCAGACAACCCCCAATTGCCCGCTCACTATAGCAAAGAGATGGAGCTCCAGCACCCGTATCACTAGAGAGGACAGTAGGAGAATGAAGCAGCAGAGGATTCTACAGCCCAGGGGTGGAGGTTAAGAAGCAAACTCTGGATCATACCAGGCTAGCTGAAATAGGAAGCATCTCTGCACAAATCAGGAGGGCAATAGTTTCAGGGACACTAACGGTCAGGTCTATACCACTAAATTGGAAGTGTTGTACAGCGACCGAGTCCAGCAGGGTTGTCTACTCATTCAGACCACGGCTGTGAGTCTACTACAACCTTCATACAACTGTCCGCACTGGAATTAGATGCGGAGGTTAGAATCTATCCCATAGGTCCTCTCTCAGGCAGTTGGGTGTCACAGTCACAGGAAAGCCCTGTCTGGTAGCTGACTATTCGAAAACAGAAGCTGCTACCAACCATTTACCAAATCATCCCTCTTCACTTACATACCCAACAGAAGAATGAGGAGAGAATGTAGCTGGAGAGGCTGAGGAGCTGGTGGGATTAAGCTGAACCAGCTCCTCAGCTTCACTCATAGATTTTAACTTTCAAACTGTTAACAAACCCAGCAGGATGCAGTCACTACCATGGGTGGCAGCAGCGGCACTTCCACAACGCAAAGCCCTTTTCACAGCTGTCAAAGAGCCACACAGAGACCCGCGAGGAGCTCAGATCCAACAGGGCTCTGCTGCGAGCACATCAGTTGTTGCAAAGGCAGCTCCACTGGCCTCTCACAACACACAGCAAATGCGTCAACACACGCCCACACTTTACCCAGCCAAGACCCACGTTGGCAACGGAGCAGGAGTCCGGGGCCATAGGCAGGCAGACTGAAGGCCACCTCCTTGTTAGTATGGAGCCAAGGCCCACAGAAACCCTGGCTTCTGCATGGATCAAGATGGCACATTGTATGCTTTGGCCACCCCAGGAGTGGAGCAGTGCAGGTCAGGAATCCAAGGGTGCTCACGTCCTCTATGCCATGACACCAGGTACTACCCAAGGCACATCAGAGCCATTTCCCAGAGTACAGTGTGGCTGCTCCGACATGGCGAGAGAACATTTTGGCACAGTTTAGCTGTGCTGCTAGAAATCGTTTGGGCTTTGCTGCTCCGGCAGTCGCAGAGTTACATTTAAGATCCTATTAATTACTAGGATCTTATTATCGTATTACTGTAGCATCTAGAAGCCTTCATCATCCACCAGGACCCAACCGTGCAATGCACAGAACAATAAGACAGCCCCTTCCCCGAGGAGCTTACAAATACAGTATACGATGAGAGACAACAGGTGATACAATACATGAGACAATATTGGTCAGCATGAGAAGCAATGTTTTCAGCACATCAGCAGTCTAGCCGTTGCCAAGTTCTCTGTAGCCCTCGTGGCTAAGAAGAGTTAAGGAGGATAACGAGGTAGCTCTATGGATGTTTACAGGAAGCACCACTTAAGGATGAGGGGCTGCGTGGGAAAAAGCATGAAAGTGTTTGAAAATGTAACACCTGAACAATGGAGGCTGGCATTACGGGTGTCCGAGGTGAGCACCGACAGCTTGATACTGACTGAGAGATGACAGGTAGGGTGGGGACTGACTGCAAAGGGCCTTGAGAGTGAAGACAAGCAGCTTATGTTTGATGTAATGGAGAAGGGGAAGCCAGTGGAGCAACTCAGAAAGAGGGTGACATGGCCAAACTGACATGGGAAGAAAAAGATCTAACGTCTTCCCCCACACTAGGAACAAGCATGTGAGATTAGGGGAGCAGAGGCAACAAGAAAACTGCATTGGGGAGAAGCTAAATTTCCACCCGGCTCCTCTTCCGCCAGCGCTGCCGTTTCCCCAAGAGGGGAGAGCTCCCCCACCTCGCCTGGGCCCTGCAGCAGCCCGGCTCCACCCTGCCACCCGTCGGCTTCTGGCCCGGGATAGCCGCGGAGTGACTCCCACACATCGCAGCACACAACAGCGACACTGCTGGAGGAGCAGAGCCCAGTGCCACGGGCACCGCTCAGGGGGCTGGAGGAAGAGCAGAAAGGAGGGATTCATAGCGGGGACACCGCCGGGGGGGGCGCGCCCCCAGCGGGGCCACGGGCGGGGGGCGCGGACGGGGACGGGGCGCGCCCCCAGCGAGACACGGGCGGGGGGACGGGGCCACGGGCGGGCAGGAGGGGCGCGCCCCACGGGACACAGGCGGGCAGGGAGGGCGCGCCCCCAGCGGGACACGGGCGGGGGGATGGGGACACGGGCGGGCAGGAGGGGCGCGCCCCCGGGACACAGGCGGGCAGGGAGGGCGCGCCCCCAGCGGGACACGGGCGGGAGGCGGGAGCAGCCGGGCGGACCATTCACGGGGCCCTCACCTGCCGGCCGGTCCAGCTTGAGGATGTCCCTCAGGTGCTGGGTCGCGTCCTCGATGTCGATGCTGGCAGAGGCCATGGGCCCGCTTCCCGCTCCGCTCCCAAGTCCGGTCCGACC